GCGTTATTCGACCGCATGGCGGAATGACCATCAACGTCATTGCCAGAGCTTGCAGAATCTCTTAGTCGACTAGGTGGTGTTTTGTCCGGTTGAAGTGGAATGCTAGTCTCTCCGTTGTTATCGACCATACAGCTGATAGTACTGAGCTTGGCGGGAGTCGGACATCCCAGCCTTACCACATCACCACCAACAAAACCACTGGTATGGACTGGTGTTTGTGGCTCAGCTTTGCTAGACCCTGTTGACCGAAGAAAAAGACTCGATTGCAGCTCAGTGATTTGGCAAGCGTCTGTCGGCCCCGATGTCGAGGCTTGGGACGAAGAGACATTTGTCTGGGTACCACAAGAAGACGACCCGGATCCAAGAGCATAGGGAAAACTGGCTGGCAAAGCTCGAACAACACCGGCGCGCATTAGGTGTGCCAGACAGAGACGAGCTAGACTCTCGTCCAGACCGGTTGCATCTGCCAGCCCAGCTAGACTGTGGCGGCCGTCCAAATGTCTCAACAGGGCCTGACTTGTCATGTCCAAAGCAAGCCAGCCAGCAGGTTCGATTCTAATGGGCATGTGCCCATTAATGGAGGCACATGCCAACGGATAGTTGAGTTGAGCAGCTACCAAATCAGGGGGTCGGAGCGGTTGGACGATTACGAAGACTGATTCATCTGTCAACTCGAAGTCGGCTTGCGGCACAGGAGGAACAAATGGAGTTTCACTGGACCAGAGAGGAGAAGTGGCATCAGAGACGTTCGGCTGGCCTGAAGTATGGTAAAACAAAGGACCATTCTTCAAAGAGATGTCAGTTAACAAGCTATAATGTATACTGAAGTGAGCGTGTGTATATGATGAAAGCGATGAAATCAAAGAGGCGTTGATAAGGAACAACCGGTAAAGCAAACTGCTCATCAGAGCCTAAATGTTGTTATGGTTTATCCGGCACCATCAAGTTGATCAAAGACAAATAGCACAACAAGCGTAAGCCACTAAGATGGACATTAAATTCTATATCTAAAAAAGTAGGTTAGAAGGAATTCCTTAAATGGTCGCACCGGAAACCGAAGGAGGATTGCCGCGAAGTAAAGACTGTGGGATTGACCGATGAAGTCCTCGGCTCAGCGTCCTGCGACCCCGATAAAACTGTGCTAAGCATTCATCTATACTGTGACAGACAACATAAGAGCAAAAATCTGAATTTTACGAAATGGCGGAATATATGTATTAAACGAAGACAAAAGGTGGCCGGCTGCAACTGAAGTCAATGATTATTGGGAGTATGAGGCTAGCGGATAGCAAATGATGATGCCGGTGAAACGTCTGGGAATGTAGCAAGTCCACGATCCAACTCTGGAAATGATCATGCATACTATAAACTCCGGACAAGGTGCGTTCCTCTAGGTCTTTCTGAAATATAACCAAGTTACGAAAACACTGCCAAACAACTTATATTCTACGAAAGTAGACCGCTACCAATCTGGACTTTATATGTTAGACCAAACAAAAGAAAAATAATAGGCATAGATAGTTATAGAATGGTTTAGATAATTATCTTTCGTGTTATTCCTACTACTTTTGCTCGAGTGTGCTTCTTAGCGTGTTAACGTCTATACGCAATACCGGTTATAAATCAGTGATAAAAATGGTAATGTCAGTCTCTGGCCATCAAGGCTTAATGACCCAAGGAAAAGCCATGACCGGGACAGCATAAATCCGTAATCAAGTTTGATTGAGATAATGCTTGTAATTCTTGTAATTCTCTAAGTCAAGTTACGAAACCACCTGTCCTAACTTATCAGTCGAAGGTCATTAACGATTAACCACTCAAGAAAAGGCATGACTAGGGCTGCGTAATCTCGTAAATCTGGTTTGGTTGCTACGCTTAATCTAACATGATGGACGAGTGTAAGTTAAGTTAGGACCATCACTGAGCGGACAGGTTGAGTCGCCTTCTTTTGGATGGTGGCTCAATATCATATATCTCTCTTCAATCTATCAATCAAGCATAAGTAGTTCCTACGTGACTTTATACCACCGTTCTTCCCATTCAACCCATTCCCTAATCTATTAACATTAAATAGCCTCTCTTATCTTCCTTTTAACAGCAGACGTACCATAATCAGCAAACCTACTAGTTTTAATCCATTCTATCTTAGGTCCAATCTTTGCCATTTGTTCATCCACATGTGACTGTTGGAGCCAACTCCTTTACAAGCATTTTTTGTTCCCCAATCTTTATTTAAGATGCATTCACCCTATTTCGTTTAAGGTGATGCTGACTGATAGTCTCGAAACTCCATTTATGTACGAAAATTTCCCCGATCTTTGTCAAATAGGTCGGCATGCCTCACCAACATGAGGCTGGTCACAGGAGTACATAATCTTGTAGCGGCTGGATCTCGATGATGGATCATGCTTCTCTCTACAAGGTGGCATTACAGAAGAAAGTGAGAGCGTTTCTTTAAGCATTATTTGTATCCCTCACATTCTCATTAATTTGCCTATCTTCTTAGAAAGAAGGCATGACGTAAAATTAGAACAGGAGAAAAGGTCTCAGCTTGTCAATCTTTGACTAAATAGTTTCTGCCTCAAAATTTATTTCTCAGTAAAGAGATATTAATCTTAATTAGGACTATAGCATAATTATTTTTCAGGAATAAATTTGTCAGCCGTTCCAATTCTTTAGTCAAATGGTTGTCATCCGCTGGCCTCATACTCCTAATAGTGATTGACTTCAAAATTCCAAGCTTAGTTTAGCTATTATGTTTTCAAAGAAAAATAAGAAAATAGCCAGCAT